AATAATTTAATAATAATGTTAATAATTTAATGTATGCTTTTATGAACAGCTGGAAAAAGTTTATTGATTTAAAAAAAAAAAGAGAGACCCTGAATGTACAGAGTATGTGACTTGGTGGGCTGTTAAATTCACATATCTAGTGAGACAGAATGTTGGTCTGTCTGTGTGGGATAGAATAAAGCTGAGCTCTGTGAGAAAGGTGCAGTCTGACTGTCTGTTTGAAAGGGATTTGGTTTTGTTTGACTGGGACAGGTCTTGACCTTGTGTGGTGTTTCCTAGGTACTCTCTGCCCTCGACATACTCCAGCCTCCACACATTGACTATTTTGAAGAAATGTATCCTAAATATAAAATAGAGCATCTTAATTGAGGTAGGTGTCATTTTCATCAGTGTAGAAGCTGCAAGTAGTTGATGGAATCTGTGCAACAGAACTGCAAAAACCTTGAGTCTGTATCTGAACAGTTTTATTTGAAGAAGTGTATCTGTACTATCAGGACCTCATAGTTATTGTTAACTTTGGAGATGAGATGGTGCAGGCTGAACATGAAGCTTTGACTATGTAAGAGCCAATAAATGGAACGCATCGTGGTATTTACCAACACATACTGCTGCTGCTAATGGGGATTCCCCCCAAATAGTTTTTTTAAGAATTATATCCAGTAATTAACTTCCTCTCAGTGATTAGTACCTTAAAATGCTATCTGATGTTTTCAGAGAGTGCTACTGTCAGATGCTTCAAAACCATGGCTTTTCAGGATGTTTCAGCAGACTAGTTGGGTTGTGGCTTTCCTTGCTCAGCCTCTATCTTGACCAAGAAAACAGGTTTTGCACAGACGTGTGTGCTGTTTAACCTGTCACTGGTGCAAAGGTACACGCTGTCTGTGGGTAACTATTATAAAAGTGAATTTTAGTACGTACCTTGACATGAGAATGTCATGGTTTGTTTTTTTCCTTTTTCAAATTTCGGGTTATCTTCTGGTTTTGGGGTTGGGAATTTCTGCATTCTTAAATACTGAAAAGTCAGTCGTTGGGCTGGGTGGATTCCTACTGACTCTATTTGGAAAAGAAATTCTGTGACTCCAAGCAGGTTGTTCTAGTACTTTAGTTTTTAAATTGCTAGAAATTACTCTTAATGCAATGAGTTAAGTACAGACTTTAATGGAACAGAAAACATCTAGAAATAGTGTGAGATTTGGAACAACAAAATATTTAACTAGGGGTAATTCTCTTCTCTGCAGAGACTTTCCTAGCGACAGACCAGGAACCGTAGTAAAGATTGTCTGCCTAGGTTAATCACACTGTTCTCTTCTTTGTGCTATTTTAAAGATTTAACTTACTGAGATCCAATTTTTGAGAATTTTTTAGCTAATAAAAAATGGACTTGATAATTAGCACTGTATGAGATTTTTTTTTTTTATACTCTCTGTGTGTAGGAAAACAGCTCTTCACCGGACTCCTGCCCATAACAGTTTTAAGATTATTTGCAGAGTTTTATGAACTATTTGGGTATTTTTACAGCATGCTGTTAGTAACAAAATATCCTTTGTAGACTTCAGTAAAAGCGATATTTTAGAGAGCAGATAATCAAATACCCTAACAGATTGACATTGCCATTATCGAATTAGCATTTCAGTACAGGGATCTGCCATACAGCTGAGGTCAGCTCATAGACTTTGTGTTTTCTATGGAAAACCCCAAAAGCAAACACTGAAAATTAAACCCGGTGCTGAATTGTTGAAAGCAAACACTTGAATCACAGCGTATTCAGCTATGTGTCATCTCATTATACTGCTGCTCCTTTTACAGCTTTGGTTGCAGTCTTTCAAGTTTATAATTCACAACCAAATTGTGCAAATACAAACCACCTCCCCAAACCAAAACCGTTACCAAAATCTCCTGGTCAATCAGGCAGGCCATAAGGAAATGTCTGTTGTAAGCTTATATATGACACCTGCCGATCAATTTTCATCTGAAAATGTGTGCATACACATTCAGGAGCATATGTAAAGTGTTATGGTTGAGGATTTGGGTTTATTTCCTAAAATTCTGTAGCTTTTATACAATTGTAGTTGAGCCCTGAGAGCTTTTTCTGTTCCCTGGATGTACTGTAATAGTTAGGTTTAAAAAACCAATAATGCACTGTCCCGCAGATGTCCACATGGTGTGTTCTACCTACGCTACAAGTAGCTTTGTTCTGTTGGTGTCAGTCTTCAGTGGAGCTGCTTGGTGCTCGAGTGCCTCACCTTCCTCTCATGGTTAGACTTTGGAAGGTTGTTTGTTAATTACTGATAGGTCTTAACTGCTTTTTTGTGTGACCCACTTTACAAGACAATTAATGGGTGGAAAATTGTCATTCTTTATTTTTAGATAAACTGAACATCGTGAAATACGGTTTGATCTATTTATAACACCTTGAATTGATTGGTGAAGAAAGTAGGTGTATTTTAGGAACGGTGGTTTTAACCAAAGTACGGCATGATTTACTGGCTGATAAACAAACTCATTGGCTGAAAATATCGCTGTGCTATACTGGGGCTTTTTTTCTGAGTGTTAGATGAAGCTCTTAAATTTTGCTTTGATATGTCTTTCCTGTGAACAGCATATGAGGAGTCTTCACAAACTGGAGTTTGGTTACTTGCACTAGTTCAATGCCCTGGTTTTATAACAAGTCATCTGAGTTATAAATCAGATCTAGGTTAAGGATTACTCCTTCCCTGTAATTGTACAATCAAGAACGTTTGTTCCTGCTCCGGCAGGGGGATTGGACTAGATGATCTTTCGAGGTCCCTTCCAATCTCTAACATTCTGTGGTTCTGTGATTGAAATGGGATAAGCTTATTTTTATGAGCTTAGCTACTGCCAAGTTTGGCATATAAAACCAGAAATGTTAGTTTCCTTCATGGTTAACTGATTTTAAGTCATTCTGACTAGTATTTTATAGGGCTGTCTTTTTTTTTATTTGTTTTAATTTCTTGACTAGGTGATAGAAGCCTGTTTGCTTTGGGTGGTCTTCTTTCTCCTTTCTGTTGAAATAAGTGCAGTAAGTGCACGTATGACCCTCAAATTCATTAGCAGAATGAGTGAATAGATGGATCACTTTATATGCACATTTTTAATTGCATGTGCTTCTGCTCACTGTAGTATAAGGAGAAGTTATTTCAGATTAATTTTAAGAAGATCGGGTAACTATATTCCCTATTTGGGGGATGGAGTTGTAAAAACTTCTTTTGTTGATCCACTAGTATAGTTCTTAAAGATGCAGTGATGTTCCATTTTTACAATAAGTTCTATTGATTGGGGATAAAAGTGATAAAGGGATTGAGCTAGCACTGCTTGATTTCCTTTATTCTTTCTAAGGAGTCATAGTGCCCTTTTTGGGGAAAGAAAAAAAAACAGTCAAAGAGTGACTAAAATTACGTGAGTGACGTGTTGCAAATGAACTAGCAGAGTTGTTTTCAATTCTTCAATGTCTAGCAAGAATTGCAAAGGAGATTTTCTAAAGGGACCTCACTGTAGAACTGACTTAAAATTTTTGATAAATTAAAAGATTTCTTAGGAAACTGCTGATAAATAAAGGAATTTTAGTCTAGTGAGATATTTGTTTTAGAGTGCCAATTCTTTGCAAACTTTTAGATGGAGATATCATTTGAATGTATAATGAGGTTTTAGATTGAAAATCTTTGTGGGTGTTTAACATCTTACACGGGTATTGATATTTTTGACAATATCACCTAGTGCAAGTATGAACAGATAATGGGGCATATATTATTCTAGATGTCTGCCTTGAGGAAATAAATTGAAAGGAGGTTGTTAGTGAATTTTAGCTTTTATACGTTCATCATTAAGTTCATCATTAAGCTGAATTTCGAGGCTTCTCCCTGCAGTCATCAGTTTACCTTGGTGGAGCAGAAGTATGATCCCTGACACAGAAGCTCGGGCGATGTTTGGGTTCTGTTTGGGCTCTGCCTGTGTTCCTGGGTGAACTGACCTGGCTTTAAAGCATATCAGTTATAAGGGTAAATAGTGGCTCACTGATTTTGCTGGAGCATCTGAAAAGCATTTAATTACAATGACCATATCCTCTAATGAGGATAATAATAATCCTGAACTAACTTATAGCTCTCTTTTTTCCAGTGCTCATTTCAGCAGCTTAGATTTACAGTATCTTCTGCAATGGATTGTAATACTGAATTCTGCAGCTGGAGGTACACAGACATTCTCTTCTAAGAACTATCCTAAGTTTCTATAGTAATTTTTTGAAAACTTTTTCCATTAAAGTGAATATTAGAAGCAGCTGAAAAGACTTAGCTTTTGTCAGTCTTGTATAATGACTTGGAAAGATTTTAATACTAGTAAAAGCAAAGGTGTGCAGCAGTTTCTTGATCTTATTAAGAGGTGTAAGAGCTGTTCTCTGACATATTGTGGAGTAAATCCCTCCTCTGCCTAGGGTGAACGAGGGTAGACAGGGTCAAGGTAAGGTTTGGCCCCTCCAGCCGGTGAAAGGGACAAAGACAGCACTGTTGGGGTACCAAGCAGCGTGTGCTCAGGCTTCCTGTTCTTTCACAGTGTCCTTAGAAAGGGTTTCCTTGTTTGAGTACCCGTCTGAAATGTCATCGCGGCAAGTCCCTGCGGGCCAACACACAAACAAATTGAACAGGGACCTCAAGGAGTAAGAGGATTAGCATACCCCGTAGAAGGGTGCGGGTTGCAGCTGGTAGCACAACAGTTTATGTTCTTGGATCAGGCAGAATTGCGACTTAGATTCTCGCTAGATATTAATGAGAACAGAACGGCTTGACGTGCTTTGTACAGGTAATGAAAGCATGGTGGTGTTATTGTCAAACCAGGAAACTGTACGAGAGAGTCCTAGACACCTGCTGTAATGAGCTGTCTGCCAGAACGGCTCTGTTCTCTCTCTAACACCAGGGTCTCTTGCCTTGGGTTAAAATTTTGCTTTATTCAGCGGTAAAGTAGTAATACCTTTATTCCAGTATTTGCACAGTGTAGTTGGATAATATTGCCTGGTACTGAAAATGTCACTGTCATCGGCTCTGTCTAGGTGCAAGTGTATTCCCATCCCAAAAATTTATTTTTAAATCAGGCAGAAGTATATGTGGGCACTAAACGAGCTTGTGCAGAAGAGGTTTAATTGGTAAGGTACCAATACTGATGAAAGTATTCGATAATTGTACTGCACCTGTCCGTAAGCACTGTAAAATATCAGAATAGTGATCTGCAAGAAGTGCTTTAGCCATATTTCCCATTTGAATATCAAATTCAGGTAACCTCAAGACGAAATAATTAAATAACTGAAGGAAATTTTGAAACTCGTGCTGAAGCAGTGGAGTTTATTTCTGTATTCTGCAGACTGTGTCCTGCCATACCTCCGGGGAATGGCTCGCTGTTCCGTTTCAGACACGTGTTTTCTACTGACACCAGAGAACCTGCGACTCTTACTCTCGCTAACCACAGTCTGCACCCGAGAACACGCGTCACCGTAAGCCCGTACGCAGCCTTGCAGGCGTGACGTGCCACACGTAGTTGTCTTTCCCAAAACAGAGCTCCCACAGCATCCAGGCTTTGTGTTACAAATACATAGGTGCAATTATTTAGATATGAAAATCAGTGATTTTCTTGTCTGTGATGCTAAGTATGGTGCTGTTAAGCTGCAGGGGATTAATCCCCGTGCCATTAACTCAGAGCTGACTGACAACGTGGTGCTTTTGTGGAGGGCTAGGAACTCCAGCTCCCGGTGAGTTTGGAAACTGCACAGGAGTGTAAGGGAGGGAGCTGCGCTTCACCGGAGTGCTTCTCTCATTGTGCCTGGGCTCAGTTAGGTGGAAAGGGTGAATTTTTCCTGTGTTAGGAATTCGTCAAGAGCTTTGAAGCCCTTACCTTGCACAGAAGTAGGATTCAGATGGAGATTCAGTGTTTTCTTCCTGGTATGAAACATTGTCTCTTTTATTTTTTCCCCCTCTCTGAAACAACATCCATCCAAAAAGCTTCTGCTGTCGCTTGTCTGTGGTCTTTGACACATGCCATAGATTGCCATTTCTACATCGCATCGTTAGAGGTGAACTGATGGCAAATATATCAGTAATTTGACCTATAACAGGAAAGTCAGCAAAACATAAAAAATAATTTAGATGGGCATTAGATTAATTACATTTTTAAAAATAATTGTTGCATTATTTTTACGTGGACCAGGTCTTTTTTTCATGTTTTGGGTGTTGATACAAAATGAGGATGTTATAGAAATATTTCTGCTAGGAAGCTATAAAGTCTGCAAAGAGTTAGAAGAGAACAGAGGTAGTATCACAAACTCAGCTTGATACAATCCTAATGGGAAACCAAGTATAACTACAGAGAAAACCCCTTGTCTCCATTTTATAGAAAATCCTATAAGAAAGTTTTGTTTTGTTTTTTTAAAGCATGTTTCTTACAGTATTGTGCAGGTAGGCACCTCCACTCTGCTGTTAGCATCCAGCTAATCCACCTACCCCAGAAGTTGTTCCCAGAGTGCTGGCTGCTTCCCAGAAAAACAGCCTGTAGCATGGAGTTTCGATGTATGCAGAGACCTAATAAAGAAGGATCCAAGTCATTAAGAGAATTCCACATCACACAGTGTGCTTTATTCCTTTTTAAAATTTGCCTGTCACTTTGGGGATTTTACCAACTCAGCAGGTCTGCCAGTCGACAGAGTACGTGAAGTTCTTTTGTCCCGTGCATTTGCCTTGATAATTATTCTGAAGCAAATTGGTACATTTGTACTTCTAATTTTATACAGCTACTTAACTAATTACAGCTGTCAGCAGCAATTTTTCTCTGGTAGTAATGTTCAGCTTGGCTGCATATTACGGCTCCAGTGACCACCTCGTAGCCAGCGTATTTTATGGTTCGACTTGGAAAAAGACAACGGCAGGTACCTGTTAGAATGGTTGACTGAAATCCCATGGAGTTTTTGTGGTGTCCTTGTGCTAAACGTTTAGAGTACTGGCCGGAGGAAAGTCATTGACCCGCTTGGGTACCAGCTGTTGAAGAAGCTGCCACATTTGTAAGAGGCAGGAACATCAAACAAGTGCTGCTTTCGCTCTTGTTTAGAGACCTTCATTAAATTATCCAGAGACAATAATCAGATAGCTGCTGTTCAAGTTAATGGCACCTCTGAGCCCCTGTCAAGAGAGCTTTATTTAATGCGCAGCAGACCTGGAGTGGTGCAGGTGCCGTTTCAGGCCCTCATTTAATTTAAGCTGCTTTAGTTGGCATGGCAACTAGTTGAGACATCTGGGAGACATTATGCTCGGGATTGAGATTTAGGAGGATTTGTGGTGTAGCAAAACAAAAATCTTACCGTAATAAAGTGCAGAGTAATGCTTTTGGATTTTTTTAAAATATTTTACATTAAAAATGAAATGTAAAGATTTCTTGCAGCCCTAAGGTAAAACCCAAATTTTAAAAGGCTGGTATAAATATTGAAGAGGGCCTTTGCAAAAGGAACAGAAAAGTTAGAGGGATAGAAATTGTGGTACTGCAGGGTTGGGTTTTTCTTTATGAATTCTTTATGAGTGTAATTTTAATTTTCTTTTTTTTTTTTTTTTTTTTTCAGTCAAAAAGTTGGCAATATTTAGCTTATACAGTTAATTTTGGTGTGGTGTGCTGATGGCAGGTGGGGGTTTGGCCGGCTAGGGTGTGCAGAGCAACAGATGGAGGGAGAGCATTGATTAGGTTGGAGATGAGAGAAAATGTGAGTTTCCTCTAGATTGTTGTAAGTGCAGCTTGACCTGTGCCAGTTAGCTGGTGATAATGGGAAGAACAAAGAGAAGTTTCTGCTGAAGCTGGCTTGCTTGCTGTGGTACCGAGAGATAAGTCGGAGTTTGCTGTTCTGTGTCAGAGTGGATGTGTAGCAGAGCTGGTTACAAAGAGCACTGAACCCACAGGAAGGCTCCTGCAGGATGCTGGGGAGATTTAAAACCAAAACAAACCCAAACCCTCCGTTCTGACCTGGTTAGCTCTGCTTTCCGAGGACAGGGCAGGACGGCACGCTTGTAAAAATACCACCCTGAGGTCGATGAGCTCATCGAGTTGCCGGCGCTGGTGCAGGGCACGCCGCGGACAAGCCGAAGGGAAGCGTGTCACTCCCCCTGCACGGCAAAACCCCGCTTCTTGCTGCGGGGCGGAAGGTAAACCTCTGCCCGCTCCAGCGTTTGGGTGCCGTTGCTGGTGCTTACGCTGCTCGGTTTGTCCTCCTGGAAGGCTGAGAGCTGCTTCACCTTGAACTGTGCGTGAACCTGGGGCACCGGGGGAGGTCCCAGACTGGGGCCCAGGAGATGCAGTTGTATTTCTAACTCTCTCCTTGATCTTTTGCACGACCTTGGCAGCGTGCGCCACCTCTGAAGATGCTGCATCGGTTGTTTGTAATTTGTGGTTTACCAATCTTAAGGAAAAATGTAAAGGTTTCACATGCTGTTAGTTACATTAAAATTTTGTTTTGTTTTCTGAGTCATAATTTGACTTTGGAATAATTTTGTAACAACTGCCTTAATGCAAACGCTACTTTATTGAGTAATCTGTTTTCTTTCACACCCCATTTTTTATTTTCGTTCTTGTAAGAGTCTGGAGACTTGACCTCTGAAGAAGCTTTATTCTTTTTTTGCTCAATAGCTCTGATGTGTAAGAGCTCAGATTCCTAGGAGTTAATGTTTCAAGAGACTGTGTGCTGGACTTTCTGCTTTTGCCTTAACTAAAAAATTGAAGATATGTTGTCACTGAATTGATGCAGAGTGACCTCCATAAGATTATCGTCTCTCCTCAGCCACTCAGCTCGGATCATGTCAAAGTTTTTCTTTACCAGATTTTAAGAGGTAATTTTTCTGCTTTTAAATGTAATGAAAATTATGTAGTAGTGGTATTTTTTCTTTTCTGTTTCTTAACGTTTATTCTCAGGACACCCTCATCTTGAGTAAGTTTCCCACGGAAACTCGTTCTTTTTATTTCACACTATGAATGAATAGCGACCGTTAATTATTCTAGTTATAAGAATATGACAGCCCTGCTGCCTGCCATCGTAGCCATGGGTGATGGTGGCAAGACCTGCAGCTGCAAAGGCTTTTTCAGTGGCCTGTGAGAGCCGTAAGGTGGGTGTGTGTGCTTTAACTGTCCTCCAATGCTTTTTGAATCAAGGTACAGACAGGACACCTGGGCTGAGCCAAATTGGTAAATATATGTGACTATACCCACTTCAGGTGTTCTGGAGAACAGCCTAGTTTATGTTATTCCAAAACAGCCCACTAAAGTAATTTTAAACTTTTTTTTCTTTTTTGTCCCTTTGGGAACTTTTATCCAAGAAATGAGATTATTGTGCCTGTCTTTTGAACATCTGATCAGTGTTAGGCCAGTTGCTTTCCCATTGGCTTTACTTGAGTATTTTCACTGGAATAAGCTGAAAGTAAACAGTTAGTTTTATCTGGGAGTAAATAAACAGTAGATTGTATTCATAAGGAACAGGGCAAAGAAATCTGAATTCTCTCCAGAATGAATATGGGCTATTCCCGGTACCCGTTGTGCTAGAGAAAAGCTTTACACTCCTAAAGGGCCAAAGGCATTTGTGCCTCTGTGATTACTGAGGAAACACTCAAAACTCTAATTTTTGTCCAAATGGCAATGCTAACCTGCCAGTTAAAGTTTTTTCAAGAGTTCCTTTCATTCTCATTCCATTTGCCCGGGCGTTTAACCTGAAAGCTCAGTGTTCCCCAGTTTAATGCTATTATTTATTTCTGCTCTCTCTGACCCTACATGAATTATGGCCATTTTTCCATTTCCCGTGCTTTGTCTACTCCTGTAGTTCATGTGCATAAGCAAGTCCATGTTGGTATACTTTCTTCCACTGTGCTTTTAGTGAGGTGCTTTCTGCATTGCATTAAAATGGTCAGAAGGACAGCTTCAGGGCCGGCAGAAGCACACAGGAGGCACGGGTTATCTTGCTTTCTGAACCACTTAAGTATTAGAAACTTCCCCAATGGCTTCCCCAAAAAAAAGAGACTACTTCAATTACTTGCCCTGTCTAGTCTGTATACACCAGAAGTTTTCTCCTTTCGTTGGATGACTGAGTGTATACTGGAGACTGGAAGTTGGAAGTGTATGAAAAATGAGCCAATGGCAAAGTCTGTGCTGATCAGGGATTTCAAGACCTTCCAGGAAAATGCTGTCAGCCTTGAACTTCTTTTAAAAGGAAAAAAGGTATTTATTGTAATTTCGTTTAATATTTCAGGTCTGAAATATCTACATTCTGCTGGCATTTTACATCGAGACATTAAACCAGGGAACCTACTTGTGAACAGCAACTGTGTTCTTAAGGTGCTACTTGAATTTATTGAAAATGTACATATGTGTATGCTGTTCATTACAAAGCAGTCGTTATTCTTTTTTAAAAAAAACCATTTAATATGAACACTTTTCTGAAAGTAATTTTAAAAGAAAAAAATCCCACAGATTCTTTACAAATTATAAATGAAACAAACACCTTCCTTTCCCCTGTTCTCCCTACCTCTCCCCAAATCTATGAAAGCGAGATAGATGTGATTCTTTGGTTTGACTTGCGTGGGATCGCTTGTGCCCTCAGCAGCTGAGGAAGGCCGGCAGCTTCTTTAGGCGTTGCGATGTCAGTGGTCAGCGTGCTCCCCAACGTGAAGGTGATGCAGAATGCCCCAGGCTCTTCTGTTAACTTCTCAGGCATATGCCCTTTGGGAGGGCTTAAGCATGCTGTATAGCTATGCCAAATATAAAGAGTTGAGCTTTGTTTACACTGATTTGCTAAGCATTCTAATTGTGAAAGTTTTGGTCTGTTTTCTTAACCCTTCTGGTTCAAGAAATTTTTAAAAATTCTCAAAGCCAAAGTGAGTAGAAGGCTGAATCTTTCTGTAACGTGTCGAGGCATATCATGAACAAACAAAGTCTGCTTTGGGATGAAATATTCTGTACCCAGAGGCTGGCAATATGTATTTTTTTAGTGCAAAGTTTTTTAATCTTCTAGTTTATAAATATTGTAGTGCCAACTAAAAATGTACTGCGATTTCAAATAAAATTGTAGAAAGTTTAAAGGGATGTGGAATGGAGTAGCATAATTTCTTCCTGTTCCCCTTTCCCTTTGCCTGTGCAGTTACAGCAGATTATCTGATTTATTTAAATGCTGGTTTGGAATTTCCTGCTGCGTTACCAGAAGGTTACCTATTTGAAATGCATTAAGTGTTTTGGTTATTTTAATTTTTTTATTTACCTTCTCAATTTAGATTTGTGATTTTGGATTGGCCAGGGTGGAAGAATTAGATGAATCTCGTCACATGACTCAGGAAGTTGTCACTCAGTATTACCGAGCTCCAGAAATCCTGATGGGCAGCCGTCACTACAGCAATGCTATTGACATCTGGTCTGTAGGCTGTATCTTTGCAGAATTACTTGGGCGAAGAATATTGTTTCAGGCACAGAGTCCCATACAGCAGGTAAAATTAAATTTCCCTTTAAAAATCTTTCTACCGCATCATTTCATGGGATCACTGATGCATTTTGAACCTCGAACTTGCTTTTGTTGATGATGACGTGCATCTAGATAAATGAAATCAGACCTCTGAAAACTCTTATACCTGCAGCTGGATTTGATCACAGACCTGTTGGGAACACCGTCGCTGGAAGCAATGAGGACGGCTTGTGAAGGCGCCAAGGCACACATACTCAGGGGTCCTCATAAACAGGTACAGCTGCACAGCGCTGGCCTTTCCTGGCTCTGGCTCAAGACAATCCTTCCCTCGGCCCCCACAAGTCGGGATTTCCTCTGTGCAGGATACTGGTGCTGCGTCCTCCCGGTGTTTCTCATCTTGATTAAATTCTCATGGCATGTTTGTTCAGGAATACTTTGGATATTGAATCTCAGAGCTGTCTCTGCCTGTACGCTGGGCTAAGGACCAGAGGTGCTTGTGCTGTTGCAGTGGCACGGGCTGGGGGGGTAGTTATTCCGAGCACTGTTGGCACAAGGTGGTTTTCACTAGTAAAGTGTGTTTCTGGCTTGTGTGTGCTGTTTGACTCAGTACAGCTGAAGGTCTCCTTTCTTTGAAGCGACAGTGTTTATCAAAATTTAAGTAATAATATTAACAAGAGACGTGTATGAAGATTGACAGTGTAGTTCAGAAAGCTCCGGAGGTGCTCCTGCACTGGCAGGGTCAGGAGTGTTAGAGGTGGAAATCACCCGTCATCCAGATCCATAAACAGGCTCCAGCAGCGCATCACCAACGGGTCCCTCAGGCATCTGGGCAGTGACCTGCACTGAACGGGATACTGAGAACCGAGATACAACTGTCAACCTGACTGAAGTAAAAGCTAATTAAAACAAAAAAACCAAGCCAGAGGGAAAAAGGCAGGATGATGTAATTGTGCTGACGGGGCAATAAAAAGGGCAAATGAAGTGTGCGGTTAATAGACAGGAGCAGTGCCTGTGCGGGAATGCACAGTGCAGTAATAGAGCAGGGTGTCCATCCAAGGTGGTCAGTTTTGTGATTGTTATATAATAAAAAATTAACAAAATTAATAACCTGTACATGTTAATACATCAGATCTTTCCAGTAGTTAAGTTTGCATCTTTATTTTCTGCATGTTGAAGGAATTTCTCAAACATCTGCTCACCACAATAGTAGTTCCCATAGGAATGAGCACTGAGGATATGTTCTGCCGTATTATTAACGTGGGGGAGGTCTGCCTCCTTGGCACTTTTGATTCAGTACATCAAGTTGTCTCTGTTCCATTTTATGACAGGGTTTTTTTTCTTTTAACATTAATAATAGGAGGATTTCCTTAAGACTTTCTCTACCACTTTTAAAACAAATCAAATCTATTTTTTTGCTATCACGTGCTAGGAGAGTTGTAACTTTTAAGCATGTAGTTCTGCACTTTCAAGGTTTGAGATGTTTAAAAAAAAAAAGTTTTATAGTGATTGAAGCTGGGAAAAATGCATGCACTATAGTTTATATATAAAAATATGTAACAATATACAGATGCTTCCAGACACTTTATAGAATACACTGGTTTTAAATTCTGATAATTTGATCATCACTTGACAATTCCACAGTGCAGTAGTTGTGCTCTTGGTAGTAGGAAGCAAGAACTCTGGAATTTATTTGTTAGTCTTGTTCAGTTTGTTAAACCAGGATGTTTTAGCCAGAACTGAAACAGGTACAAGAATGTCTTCTGATCTCTCATCCCAGCGCTGGGGCTCTTCTTGTCCAAGCTGCTGCAACTCTGTGTCTGGAGCCGTGGAAAGACGGGAATACTGAAAAGCAAGGGAAGTGAAATGGTGCAAAAAGTTTCTGGTAAAGATTTGATGTCCGATAGCCACTAAGTCATAGGAAATAAACTGTAAGCAGTTAGTTCTGTGTCTCTTGAGGAAAGCAAGGTTCGTTCTTCGTGGAGTGCCCCAGGAGCTGACGGGCTCTGGAGCTGGTGTGCTCGTTTGCAACTTGGAAGTAGGGGTTACAGTGCATCTGGCTGATTTCTTTAATGATATTTCTCTGTTTTCAACTGCAGGCACTTTTCATGTTTGAATGCAAATTCGTGCCTTTTCATCTTTTAAAGTGGAGATTTTGCTGGTTATAAATAGCTAAATGTTACCCGGTTCTTAATTAGATTAATAGGGAGAGAGAACCAAGCTAGAAGCTGGTGATTACTTTGTCGCACAAACTATTTTTAATCGAGGTAGGTGAGCATAGTAGGAGTTAAGGGCTAAAGCATTTTGCTGCTTTGTGTAAAAATAGATCAGTGCATGAAGTTTCTGATGTAAAGAAAACACCCCACCGTGTGTTGGCATGATGGAAGTTTACATACTATGTAGACTTCTTTGCAGCCTTGTATTTGAGAATTTTACTTCAAACTAAATTGAAGTGAATTGATAAAGTTGATCTTTAGCAGTGGACTTGGTTGCAGTTTGCCGAGAAAATGCTGTCCCCAGATGCTGCTGAAAGGCAGACAAGCTGCAGACACGAGGCGTAAGTGTAGCACAAAAAGCGCATCCTTCGTTTGTACTGGATCCTGCAGCTTCCGTAAAGAAGGAACGGAATCATATCTTCCTGCCCCAGTATGGGAAACCTGCTTAATCACAGAGCTTAGATGGCAGTGCTTTTTTGTGTAGATGGTACTTATTAATTATAAGAAATAATACGAAGTTGCCAAACGTTACAGCTTTATGTCCTATAGACGGCAGTGGAGCATCAGTGCTGGATTTAGCTCGGGGGTTAACGTAGAACGATGGCACTGCGGAGGGGGAGTTTTTAAATAAACTGACAAGTGTACAGCATGAATAACTTCTACTCGTGTGCTTGGCTAAGCAGGTAGAAGCAACAGACGCCTGCCAAATACTAGCGCTGCATGACCGTTAAAAGTCTGTGCAGAGTTGGTGCAGTGCTGGAAGTCCAGTGGATCCGTGCAGGTGTCGTATCAGGTCTAGGCTGGCCCGTGAACATTGCCCCATCAATGCCCTCGCTGGCTTTCAGTGGGTTGGTTATATCTCACACAGGATGCTTTAGTCATCTCTGCTGGCTGGTGTGTTCCTCCCCCGTCTCGATGGTGATTAATCCCGGGTGCTGCTGGAGCACTCGGTGTCCGGCCCTGGCGGCTCTTCCCAACACTCCCTGGTGCTGCGAACGCTGGTGGAGTTTTCCTGGGAAGAATACAGAGGGCTGTGTGTGTGGCTGCAAGTGTCTGTGATGGTTTATTTCCTCTAAAAAAAAAAAAGAAAGAAACGTTAGGAGTGTTGGATTTGGAAGTAACACACTCCGTAGCTGGAGTAGGAATTTTCTTTGCAGCAGAGCCTGTCCTCATCTCTAGAGTTTTTTTCCTTCGGTTGGGGGTTTTGGTTTCTTTTTTCAATAGGTTTGTGGGTTTGCTTTCTTCTAAGTGTGAAAACTGAGACTTCCTTTCCCCCATCTTACTCTTTTTTTTTTTCCCCCACCTTCACTTCAGAGGGGTAACTGTTCGCTTGTTTTGAAACACTCCGTTTACTTTGAAGACTGTCATGTGCTCTGCTGCCATTCTTTAAACTAAATAGGAACAGGAATAATGTCAATTAAGCAGGAAAATATTTTACTTGACTTTGGAAACTGACATTGTCGTGGCTTAAAAAAAAATAATCTTTGAAGCTCATTTCAGAAAGTCTAGGATATAGCTAATGCTTTAAAATTAATGGTATGTAACATTATTGTTGATTAATTTTTTTCATTTTGGGGAACTTCAGGCAGTACTTCTTTCCACATGTTAGGAGTGTGGGGACAGGGGTTTCTTCACATTTTGCCATTTTAGTGTTAACGTTTTGTTCCAGAGTCCAAGGAGCCTTTCAGGCTAGAGAGGATGTTAAGAGCTGTCAAATGGCAATTTTATATGTTGAGTAAAACCTTGTTAAAATACTATCTCCTTGTTGAGCTGGGGGTGTCCTGGGCGCTGCCGGGCTGGAGCAGCGGTTCTCTCCGTGCCCGCGGCCGGATGATCCCGGTGCCCCCGGCACGGCTGCCCGGGGTTTGTGCCTCGGGTCCCTCGCCGTGCGGAGGGTTGTGTGCTCCTGTCCCCATCCCAGGCTGGCTGTCCCCGGTCTTTATCATCTGTACTTCGGTATTTGTGCTGCGGGTTTTTTCACTCTCAGCTAAAACTGGAAACTTTCAGACTGGGCAGGCTGCCGTGCTTGGGAGTGCGAGGAAAGCGAGGAGATGGGGGAGGAAGGGATCTGCAGAGCTGGGTTTGTGGGGCTGAGCTGAGCAGGAGCCGCACGGCTGCCCCCAGCTTCTGGGTTGTTCCAGCGTTTTTAACCCCGGGTTAGTGCCCCAACCCCCTAGCCTGTTTATCTCCCTGTAAAACGCTGTGTGCCTGAAGGTCATCGTAATTGTGCTGGATGTCGCTGCCGGTTCGATATGGATCGCCCGGGTAAGGAAAAGCACAATAATCCATAATTTGGCAGTGATGGAGATCAGAAAAATGAAATACTGGAATTGATGCGGTTAATCAAACCCCTGAGCAGCTACAGCTTAAAGTGGTGTCTGGATAGAAAAAGAAATAAATAAAATATAGGTTTGTCCAGGGATTGCATCTGAACTAAGGAAAAAATTCAGTTAGATCTCTGCTCCAATTGCTGAGTATTGTGACAGCGATTATAGGCTCGCTGGGAAGCGCTGGGTAGTGCCTGTCCTTTTTGCCAAGAAGTTTGTCCTTGGCCCGTACGGTAACGCGTGCTGTGAGTGTTTTCTTGCTGATGGATCTGACAGGACAACTCTCTGTACTTTTCTGTCTCCTGTTTCCCCTGCAGCCATCCCTTCCTGTCCTATATACGCTTTCCAGCCAAGCTACCCACGAAGCGGTTCATCTCCTTTGCAGAATGTTGGTCTTTGATCCAGTAAGTATGATGTGAAATTATTCCTGATACTTTTTGTTTTAACAGCTTTTGTTGTCTGCTACTTAAACAGATATTTTAGTAAAGGACTGCTTCAGCTGATGTACTTCTCCCTTGCGTTTCAGTTCGTTTGGGTCTGTAAAAGACATAATAGTATCATCTTATAATTGGTCAATTAATTTCCTCCTGCACAGGGGGTTTCGCATTTAAAATCTGGGGGTCTTTTGAAGAAAGCTACAGCAGGGTGAGAAAGATGAGGGTGTTGGTGAATCATGCTGTCTTTTCCTGGCTAGGTGTAGGTAGCAGAACATCAGATACTTTGATGCAGTTCTAATTAGAGACGCGTGGGTGTTCATGGTCTTGCAACACACAGAAAATGCCTTCTGCATCCACACAGTCACATAACAGGATCTTTTTTCCACTGAGCATCTGTTTTTCTAATAAAAAATTGCTGCTGTGGATTTGGGATTTCATCTCTTGGGCTTACTATCCAAAACCGTCACTAGGAGATCTGATACCTGAATTGATGGTCTTAGTTATTTCATCTTTACAGGAAAATCCCGAACATTTCAAATGAAAAGTAGACAAATTGACTGAGCTGCAAAGGAGGAAGCTTGTAATTGATGAAGTGTTCAGAAGGCAGTACCTTTTGATTTTATTTTTTTAAACCTTAAGATCGCTTTACTGAACAAAGTCATGGGAGTGTTAAATCATAACTTCCCTGTAAACAGACTTGGGTTTTTCCTTTCTGACTCCCTCAACACTTAGAATACTATTATTCCCAAATCACATTTAAATAAATGTGGGTTTGTTTTTGTAAAAAAACAGGACAATCCCTAAAACAGGGGATTTTAATTTCATCTAAAATGTATCCTGGGAGTTGGGATGGTTGGGTTGTACTTCAGGCTTTGCCACAGCTTTTGCTCTGTAACTCTGAGCAAATTGCTTTTGTCCTGATGTGTGTTATTCTGTTGGGTTTTTAATTCACCCATAACAACAGATTACACCTTGAATTTGCAGTAGCACTTCTGTCTGCAATTCTTCAGAAACAGACAGTATTCTCCTTTTTTGAGAGGATGGTGTTGGACACCTAGAGACCGAGCATTTCACTTGAGTTATGCCCAAAAAAAAGTCGTAGTGATGTGCCAGCAGACTTTATCATTTAAACCACCTTCTTCCTGCACTTCCTGCACCACTTGCTGTCTGAAACTCCATGTATAAAGTGTTTGTCAGAACTCCAGATGCCGTATCCTGGATTATTCTGTTATCAGTGATGCTTAAATCCGAGTTTTACTTTAAAGATGTGCTAAAGGACACATTACAATGTTTTGCAGAGTATGGACCTACAAAATGCTGTATGTGCTCCCATGAAATTCTTTGCGCTTATTTTGGTTTATTGTGGGAGTCATAACTTTAAGGTTATCTGGAGAACGTAATTATTGGAAGAGATATTTCTAAAAATCTTATTAGCAGCATTTTCTGTCATTAGCTGTAGGGCGGAAAGGTCAGTGTCGTCTCCGCGACGCTGCTTGTTTCTGAGTAAAACCTTCCCCCTAGCGGCACTGGGTGCAGAGCTGCACGTTCCCTGGTGTGACCTAACCCGTCAGTGGGCTTGGGGCTTTATGGAGCAATTGGGAATTAATTGATGAGTAAGTATTCTTTAGACTGTTTCAGTTCCTCTGAAAATATCCTAACTCTTTCTTCATTTATTTCTTTTCTTTTCTTTGCACTGTTTCAGTCCAAAAGAATATCTGCTAAGGATGCCTTAGCTCACCCCTATCTGGATGAAGGGCGGTTGCGATACCACACTTGTATGTGTAAATGTTGTTTTTCCACGTCCACTGGAAGAGTTTATACTAGTGATTTTGAACCCATCACTAATCCCAAATTTGATGACACTTTTGAGAAGAACCTCAGTTCTGTTCGGCAGGTGAAAGGTGAGTAGGAGTTAACCTTTGCCTCTGTCTTCCCGCTCCATCCTTTGGAGCATGTGGTGAGGATGTGCAGCCTGGATGTCTGTGCTGACCCGCAGGGTTTCTTCTTTTAGGTATTTTTACATAGTAGATACTGGAAATAATTTATTTTCACTAGAAGAACAGAACTATTTGTTCTGACATAATATAATACCACACGTGTTAGCTGACATGCAGACGTCTGTCGGTTTCGAACTGTAACAGCGTTCCTCTCTGCTGCCGGTGCTCCCCGTGCTGCTCTGCTGTTGAAGGGTCGCACCAGCAGCGACAAGGAAATCACCAGTGTGGCCTTTCCGGGGCGCGAGGTGTTATCCTGGTGGCTGTCCTGCAGCAGGGCCAGCGTCAGCAGGGCTGAGCAGTCTGGTGGTTCTCCTGCTTCATTTCCTCTGATCTGTCACCGGCTGCCCACGTTGAAACGTCCCCGACGAGTGCCCTGAGAGCAGCTGCTGCCATCAGCCCCGCTGCCGGTGCCGTGGCGGCTCTGGCGGCGATGTGGAGGATGCGCTCTGGGTCGTGACGCGCTGTCAGGAGGAGAATCAGTCCTGACGCCTGGGAGAGGACACGGCTGCTGCAGATGGTTCCTGAGCGGCGCGTGCACGTACCCTTCTGTGTGCATTGATGCTCTGGGGTGGGGCAGGTTAGGGATGCTGGAGTTCTCTCACCCCTAGTAAAATGAACTTCCAGCAAAGGCAGATAGATTTTCCTCCAGTCTACATCGTATTTTACTGAAGCGAAAAGTGTTAACGGTATGGTGTTCTTTATTTTTCTCCTCTGCACAGAAATAATCCATCAGTTCATTTTGGAACAGCAGAAAGGAAACAGAGTGCCTCTCTGCATCAACCCTCAGTCTGCTGCTTTTAAGAGCTTTATTAGGTAACTGTATGTAATCACATCTGATATTAATTCACATTTATTAGTAGTACAGAATTCGCACAGCCAAAATGTTTGATGCTTTAAGTTTCTGAGAGTAGGAAAAGCCCATAGATAACTTCTGCAAAAAAATACCTTAAGGACATGTATGGTTACAGTTTAAAAATAGTGCCATGAATTATTCTGGAGTTTAAGTAAAATGTCCGAAAGTTTCAAGTCATATTTTTGCAGAGAAGTACAGAAGTCAGACTAAAAACTAGAACTGAAGGATTGACAAGCTGAATTCTGATTGTAGCATTGCACTGTAAAACCATTGAAGTGAATGACTGACAGATGAAGAATCATTGAGAGAATAAGGCACAGCGAAGTGTTTGGTGGTGGTGTGGGTAACTGTTGGTCCTGGGGCGGTTTGGGTGGTTTTGGTTTAGTTTTGATGGTTTTTTTGTTTTCCTTGAAATGTTTGCTGACTGGTTGAGCATTAACTTTCTTGTCCGTGAGCTATTGCAAATGAACACTGATTTTCTGTATCGCCTGCTTTCTAGTTCCACGGTTGCTCAACCATCTGAGATGCCGCCATCTCCCCTGGTTTGGGAATAAAGTGGAAGATAATGTACTACTGAAGATGTAATGTAGCTTTCCACTGGAGTCTGGGATTTGCAATTCTGGAGGTTAATCATGCTTGTACTGTAATTTTACTAATGAAGTTTTAAATTAACAACCACTACTTGTACAATATGAATAATATTTAGAAATGTACTAGACTTTTAATCTTGTAAAGTGGTTGTGCTTTTAGAAGAAAATATTTTACCCAGAGTTGCACGTGTTTTATGAATTCTAGTGCAGCTGTGATGGCTCAGCTCAGAACAAACAGAATTGAACCAAATTTGGGGAGGTTTTTTTCTTTTTTTCTTTTTTTTTATTGAAGTGAGATTGTACAAAAAGATAGACATACATTTTGATATTGAGCCATTCCTGAAGATTTTGGGTTTTCTAAAACTAAGGAATACAGAAAACTTGACTGCGACCAATCATGAAGTCACGTCAGGTGACAGTGGCCACGGTGAGTGGGCACATCCCCTGATGGTCAAATCCTATAAATAGCTTCTCACTAGAGCTGTGATGGTGATGTGTGCTGTTCTAAAATCAAATGTTGTGAGTAGAGAGAATGAGTTTGTGACTAGGAGAGACTAAAGTTCTGTTTCCTTACCCAGTATAAATATATATATATTTAATCTATTTTTATTAGAAGTTTTTCTGCTCTTTCTTACATAAAACCCCCCAGCATGCATCTTCTATGTGTGTAAATAATTCCATTGATGGGCTAATTTCAGAGATCCCTGACATCATTGCTGTATAGAGAGGAACTAGCTTGCACATTTTAGGTCTGTGAAATTTTGTGAGAACTTTTTCCTGCACTGGACAGTTGAGAGAAAAAAAAAAAAAAGAAAAGGAGAAAAAAAAAAAAGCACATAGGGAATTATGTTAATTGTGTTTGTGTCTTTAGGCGAAGCTGTGGAAGTCTTGAAATGTCACAGTAGTAAATAACTTTTATTACTTTTTGGCTAATTCTTTTTCTGTTGGAACACTGAATTCTGTGCATATGTATATATGAACACAAATTGAAGGCCTCTACCTCCTGGAGTATACAACTTGGTTTGTTTACCTCCACATGATTTTTTTTTTTTTTTAAGTTCAGTGTGGAGACTTGAAACTTGAATGTCCCTTCCAACTTTTATATTTAAAACAAGACTAGAAAATTGAAGACTGTTTTTCACCTGTACAAAGAAATACTAAAGGGTGGTCTTAAAATTTGAGCATTGGTCTGGAGAAGAACCGTGGTGTTTGTTATGGACAATTAACTGTTAAAGTTATTGTAAGTTATCTGTATTTAGCAGAGTATTTTCAACAAGAGTGATCTGAGCTGAAATTGGAAACTATTAGTAAGTTATGTTTGGAAGTTTTAACTTCAATGAAGTAATTATTTGCTGTGAAAGAGACGAACATTGAATAACTGAACAAAGATGGTGCAATATCTTTGTTTTTTATGAGGCTCCTGAGAATAAAACCAACTGAAGCATTTCAATTCACTTGAATGAGAGACGTGTTTGATTAAAAGAGCCCAAGAAGACACTGGTATGAAAGGTAAAATCTCAGAGGTTGGTCAGTTAATGTGGCACACTTGCTGGTCACTTTGTAAAATGTAGATTTGAAGTACAGTGGTGAAAACATTAAATGTGGCATTTGAAAAAGAAGTGGTGTTATCTTTATTTCCTGCCTGATCTCCCACCTTTATTTAAAATTAAGTTATCCCAATCTTAAACATTGTCTAAAAGAATACAAGGAAAAAGAGTTGATAACATCTTGGTTTGGGCATGGTTTTGATTTTAATACTTGTGTGCACACACACACCTACACACACGTACATGCAGCTATATGCACATAGGTATGAATTCTGAAACAAAATATTCATTTACTCGTTAAGCTTGATCCTGGATGAAGGCAAAACTTGGATGATTAAAGCAAAACAAGCACTTTATTGAGAGGTTGAAAGACATCCAGGCAAGGATGGATTTTGCTTAATTTACAAAGTTTGTGTCGTTTCTTTTCAGCACACTTTCATTGTTTCCTGTAGTCCTAGTGCAAGGAATCCATTGTGCAGCGGTGTTGCAGAATATGGCTGACAACGCTCATGTTTTATGAGTACGGCCTTTTTAAAGACCAAACAAATCGAACGGTGTAGTTCAAGCCTCCGGACCTCACAAGAGATAAGCAGATAAGCCTTCGCAGCACGTGCTCTCTTCCCAGGGCTGGCGCAGGTGTTCTCTGTGCCTCTTCAAGCCTCTTCTTAAAACTCTCTGTGCTGTTCTGAGCAATTTTAATGTGTTAGAACTGGTGATGGCGGTCTCATCGTTGCTTCACGGTTGTCGGATGCCAATGTAGTTGCTGTTAATTCCCTGCAGTTTTTACTTAGTCTGCTCATCAGGTTCTCCTCCAGCGTCAGACGACAGTCCCCAGGGGTGGGTCACTCGTTGGGACCCCTCGTTTTGACACAGCTGTGACACGTAACGACACAGTTGGCAAAAACCACTTTGTGCTTCAGGGTGTGTTTTGGAGCCTGTTGCTCAATGTGGGTTAATCTCAGTCATAAATGTAAAAAGAATAAAATGTCAGTTGGACATTTACCTTCCGGCGTGTCTTCCCGTGAATGCGGGCGGGGTGCTGGGCAGAGGGAGCAGCCACTGAAGTTGTGCAAATATGCAAAAAACCCACTAATGGTGATGTTTTCTGGAGCCTCAGGTGCATTTGACGTGTTTGATGTAAATCGGGGACAGGGAGAGCTCTCAGGACTGTCGGTGACAGAGATCGTTTGTTCTGGGGTGACCGCAGGCGTGTGCACGCTCGGTGACCTGAGGGGGTTCGGCAGCAGAGCTGCTTGTTGCCCAGAGAGGTTAAAACCTGGCTTGCAGCTCCAGAGTTGTGTTTTAATCAGTTTTAAGCTTTGTTTTTATCAATGTCAAGTGAACTACAGATTGTAATTGTGAGTTGTGAGCTCTCTCAGTGCAGGTTCTACATCTCCTCCCGTTAATGGTGCCTTGAGAAGAGCACAGAAGCAGTGAGAGCAGAGAACAGCTTCGGAATTACTCGCAAATTGTCAAAGGAACATCCACACCTTAGACAGCCTGATCCCTGTGTGTGTGCATCTTGAAGGTGATGCAAAGGAGCAAAACAAGACCAGTGGTGGAGAAGTAAGCTGCCGGAGTTCCCTGGTGTATGGTGAAATGTCGTTGACTGATTCAGATCAATTAATGTACCACGGTAACGAAGTGCTTTCCTCCTTCAGCCCATTGATCAGTGATTTGGGACTTCGCTGCTTGACCTGCGGGGAGCAGGGGAACGCTCACCTGATGGAACAGACGGGTTTGGTATTTACCGGGTAGCGATTCTTCTAAGCATCTTCTTCACCCTTTATTTGTTTTAGTATCAGAGTATCTTGGGACCCTGGAACTGTTTGTTCTTTGTAACTTTTAAAAATTCTTCTGTCAGGTATGACTTGATGGAGAGTGCTGTTCACGGTCCGTCTGTAATCCTGCTCGGGCGTGGCTCCTGTACCTGTTGGTGCTGTTGAGAAGGGGAGGAGGCTGGAATCCCAGCAGATAACTGCACAGAGCCCGCGTGTGCGCCCTGGACGCCTTCTGCGCTCAATAAAGGATGGAACCAGACCCGCTCCATGCTCTGGGGATGCTGGGACTGGCGCCGGTGACTTTCTAGGTTCTGTAGTTTGTAGGCACGTTGCTATGAGTAAAGAAATTGTTTTTTCCCCACCTTCATCCAAGTTAAAATTTGAAATTTAAGAAGAAAATACATCTTTGCATTTTGCAATCTTGTAGGTTTACCGTTTGTAGAGGATAGACTCGCCGTCAGAAACTGTTCTAGGAGAGGAAGGTAATTGTCAGCTGCCGGCCTTGGCCAAGAGGTGGGAGAAAATGGGAGAAAATGGGAGAAAAGGGGCAAAACCTGCGGGACGGCGCGGAGAGGGCGCGGCGGGGGGA